ACAAGACAATAACTAAGAGGTTTCTGGGGAGGGCAGGTCGAAGTTTAACTCTCTTATTGCATACTGCAAACCTCGCACAAATCGTGCGCCAATCTTGTCCCACTTGTACCAACCACGCGCTATCGTTCTGACAATTGTTTGCCAGTTTTGACTGAACCTTACGCAAACGGTATCCCTCCTCAGAAATGTCTGCCATTTTTCCCAGCACAAAAACTTGCACAAATGCTAGCACAGCGGCACAGTGACTAAGGTCTGCATTGGTAATGGTAGGGTGATAGATCTTCGAATGTTCGCCAGCAAGGGGGAAGGAAGACATTTTCTGTCTCCTCCTTTAAGTGAAAGCCACAGCCGACACACTTAATGGAGAAAAGAGCTTGAAAGCTGTTCAGCCATTTCTGAAGGAGAAAATCAAAAATGATCATGCAAGTTTCGTTTTTGTACCGATAGATCAATCTTAGGAGTGTGCGCTTCAGGAAGTTTCCTCATTTCACTTCCAGCTTAACATTTGCGAATGGCTCCTGATCATATTTTTGTCGCCTTTTACTGGCACTTGATATCAATTTGGTTTTGGTTTCACCACAATACTCTTCAAAGAACAATCACACTTACATTTTCGTCAACTCAGGCGTAAAAAATTGCATCCATTGAGTTCAAGCTGCGATGTTTTCACCATAGATATCTGAAAATAATCTCCTTAAATTTTAAAACTACCCTACCCTTAGAACTAATGCCAGACAAAAAATTATACTTAACTTACCAGTAAGCCTCTCACTTGAGATGTAGGATCACTTGGGGAGTAATGGTGTAATACAACTGATGTTGCATAATCTGTTATCTGTTGGATAACAATTGCATGTGAGCCATCAGATATCGCCCAATGGCAGTATCACACAAGGCATCCGCTAATTATATATGTACATGAACTCTTCCCAGATCATGGGTGCTCATTTCTTATTCCGTAATATCACTCTTAGTTCGCTTCTCTCTTCTGTCATTTACCCATCCTTTCCCACCCGTGGATTTCAACAAGGGAGAAAATGGCCTCGGTCTAACGTACACCTTCCCCTTGATGCAGCTTTGCTTGTTCTGGCAAACAACAAGATGATTATGTATATTTCTGTATGATTGTCATTTCTTAGTGCTTATAGGAGAGTGGTTACTGATTATAGGAGAGAAGGTCAAGATTATTCACTTTTGTGCAAAAATTTTGTCATAAAAAGTAATGTCACTTAATGAGCTTTAAAACAAATATATTCTATGCATGATACATAGAGATAATCACCTTTCTGAAGACAGCATGAGCTGACTGAGACCATGATTCCTATGAGGAAAATGCATTCATTGAAAAAAAAAACATAAATTGATCCAAAGAAATATTTCAAGTATTACCATTCTGTGGTTTCTAATTCCTGGATGTTGAAATTCACCATCATGGATTTGGTGAGTTTCACTCTAGCTAATTTGCTAATGATCGACTCTAAGCTGTATTTTAGTAAAAAATGAGGCTTGGATTACATGTTGCACAATGAAATTGTACTATAAAATTGGATAAAGATGAATTTAAATGTAAGTGTTCAGACGTAAACACTGTGTATTACACCGGTGCATGTAGGTCTTAGTCTTTAGCTCACATGGCTTCCTCTATACATGTACACGACTCCTAATACCCTATGCCAGTCTCTTGGTCAGTGGAAGCAAATGAAAAAGTAGGCACATGAAAAAATGACATGGTTCAGGCAATGAAGGAAAAAGAAGGAAGTGAGCCTGTAATACTTGTTTGCCACCAACCACTAACAGGGAGGC